TCTACTGTACAACTCTTATGATATTTAGTTTGAAGAATTTGGTATTGGCTCAAATAATTATCCCTTTATTTATATTTCTCTTTATTACATCCAATCACTGGTGGTCCCTGTAATCTGATTGGCTCTAATTGGTACGATTTATTCATGAATCGCACCATTTTTTGCTCTAAATCGCATCATTTTATGCTTGACTGAGTTTTTGACACATGATGTCAAAGTCTTTCTGTTTTGCATACAAAATAAGGTGTAAAAGCATTTCCGATTCCACTTTTTATTTAAAAACCGGCTCAGTACTGCATCAGTAAAATATTTGAATTGACCTAGTGCTGTATATGGAGGATTTCAAAATGGATGTTAGTAATAAAGTGGTAATTAAACCTCGTTTCGTGCAATTTTGGTCTGAAATCATACTTGTGATTTCAAATCAAACTCACGCTGCGTGCGCATTCAATTTTGAAATCACGCATATGATTTCAGGCCAAACTGCACTCCACTCAGTTCAATTAACGTTATTTATTCTCATCACTTGTCTGCTTGATATTGTATTGATGTAGTAAGGAGAAATTCCATCTTGGTCACTTATGGTAGTGAAAGGGTTAACATTTTGATTTTCCTTTGATGTACTCTACCAATTTGAAAGAAATGGCCTCCTACATAAGTAGGAACCCTCCTACAGGTTCATTCTCTAATTGTAATCAGTTTTACCAATATTGTTATTTGACTGAAGTGCAATATGTGAATTATTTATGGATTGCTACTTTTTGTCTGCAGAACCCATAAATATTTTCCATAGTTCTTACAAAACTGATTATGAACCAATCCGCCTCAGTTACCACAATGGTGTGCACTACAATGCAGTTCTTAATCCTAATAAGCCATCTGTAGGTGTAGGGCTTGGACTTTCTGGGTACAAACCATGGGTAAGTGAGCATTGTGCAGTAAGCATATTTCCCTTGTGTCATTTCATCTTCTCTTAACTCCCAGAGGTGCCTAAAATGTAAGTTACTGTGATCTAGCACCAAATTCTTGTATTTAATTTTGTAAGGAAATGGGTAGCAGTTAGAGGGGAGAATTAACTTTCAGATCTTGGGGGTTGACCTTTTGTCATGAGGGGTGGTATCTGGGTGTTCTTTATCCTGAGAAGAAGTTACTATCAGAGTGAAAACGACGTAGATGATGACAAACCATCAGTCACTATGACAGACAAAAGTCCTTCAGGAATACCCTTAATAACCCTATACAGTCTTTAAGGTCTGTACAGCATGGATTTATGGCCCAGGCACAAAGTGCACAGGTCATCAATCCAAGTGGGAAAAAAAAAAAAACAAGTTCTGTAACTTAGAGTATAGGTTCAAAGAGAGTGGGAAGATTTTATTTTGTTGGCTGTACAGTGAAATATGACCCACTAAATTGACTGATCATAACACACTTACTAACTGACAGATTTAATGATTAATGCATAGACTTTATTTTTTTCCCTAGGGCACCCTTGTAAGTGATGCATTCAAGCAGTCAGAGGATTGGCAAATTGAACAGGTAATGTTGTTTGTCAAGACTTCACTTTAGATCTTGCTATGTATGTATGTATGTATGTATGTATGTATGTATGTATGTATGTATGTATGTATGTATGTATGTATGTATGTATGTATGTATGTATGTATGTATGTATGTATGTACAAAGTCAGCTGCAACAAAGAATATCTGGCACTAGTTTACAAAGTTAGCTCCAATAGATGAGAGGGTGTTCAGATCTCTTAACTGATTTTTTCTGTGCACACTTTACTGACTAATTAAAAGGTGAAGAATACCAAATGTTCAGTTTCATTTTAAGAGATTGACTTTTTTATGTGGTATTGATTTCCAGCAAATGTTAGCAGACAAACTTCGTTGCACTGACTGGGAAGCAACAAATGAGGCCATGGAAGAGGCAGTAGCCAGAGAATCATTTTTGGAATTCCTCAGAGAAAGAGAAAAACGATCAAGGGGAACTAGAACATTGGTAACATATTCCTGAGTTCTCTTTTGTTTTTGTGCCCATCTTGTTATTTTTCAATTTCACCACTTTTTCAGTAAAAGATTCTTTTTTTCTCCAGTTCATTTAAAGAAATTATCAGTCAAATGTACTAGTATGAAAAAGGGCACATTATTTAACCCAAAGTTGAACTGAATTAAGTTGAAAAAATATTTGGTTTGAATCTTTACCTGGTTGAGGTGCATATCTCCTTTTTGGTTGCATGCCTTTTTCTATTTTGAGTTGCCTTCTTTTTTTTTTTAAGAATTCATCCCTACTCTCTATATCTTTAGAATCTTTTCATTTTATCTGTAAATAGAGCAGATTTGCAAATCAACTTTGTGTTAATTAATGTTCAAATCATCCTTGATACCCCTCTCTTGTTTTAGCCGTGCTCCAGTCCTACTGCAACAAGCAGCACATCAACATGCACCGAGTCAAAGCGGCCAACATCCCCTCATCACAGAGAACGAGAACGCGAGGCTGCTGAAAGTGCCCCTCCCAGCAAATCTCCACGTCATTCTCCTAGCTCTCCCAGGCATGAGACTTTGGCGAGTGCTTCCTCATCAGAAACAAAAACATGCCCTCCAACAAGTAATGCAACGATGACATGTACTGTTAGTAGCGTGAAACCAACTTACTATGATTCTAAGCCAGGATGTTCTACTGAATCATCCAACCCACCTTCACCCCCTGGGGCGACTGGTGGTACTGATGGTCCAAATTATCTAGACTTCTTACCTCCCAATGGATATGGTAAGATTTATAAAGTAATTGAGATGTATTTTGAAATGTAGGTCAGAGTTTAATTGCATATATTGGCTTAACAATGTGAGAAATATGTGAAATGATGCAGTTGTGATTTGTTTTTTCTTTGTGGCTAAATATTTTTTCATGTGATGTCATGGCAGCGATATTGGTGTTCCAAATTAGTCCTGTGGCAGTGCACTCTTTTCATGCAAATTCTTCATTTTATTTCAATGGGAAAACAAGGTGGCTGTCACAAGAGTGATAAGGCTCTCTAGCCTTATGAGCAGACACTTTTATGATGATAGCTGATACTATCCTATGGACTACAGTAGATTGCACACAGTCAAGTCTGTAGCAAATCTCTGAAAAAGAAACTCTTAGACTTGTACGTGTAGCAAGGATCCCCCCAAAATTATGATAATAACAGTAATTAATCAATTAAAAAAATAATAAAAGGCTGAGAGAGATCAGATCCTTGAGGTGTTAGCACATATTATGAGAAATTTCATGAGAATTGGGTTGGTGATCGCCAAGAATAACTTTTCTTTGTTCTTTCGTCCAGAACTATGGGAAATGTAATGGTCAAATAACAAGACCAGTAATGAGAATTTTCATGTTAACCATACGGGGCATATTGTTTTAAATTCTGTTTCTGTGTCAGTAATCTTACCATTGTACTTCCTTGGTTTTGCAGGTTTTTCTAAATGGGAAGATGAAAGTATTCTGGCAGCGGTCTTAGCTGAGTCTCAAAAAGAATACTTTGACAAACTTAGAAAGGGTGCTGCAGGCAAAGACAAAAACAGTGACGATGATTACAAATCATAGCAGTTTTATGAGATGATCCTCAGAGAGGATCAAGAAAAAAATCAGTTTAGATTGTTTTGCAATGATTGTTATTTTAGTGCAGTTATAATTGTTTGTAAATTGGGTCCTGGTTAAAAAAAAAGGGTAATTAAGATTTTCAGTGTGGTACATATTTTCAATTCAAGTGTGACACTTGATTTATGATACAAATTGAACTGTTTAATGAATTTGGTTTGCTTGGAAGGAACTTAAGAAGATCCTCTGAAATAATTTTTCCTTTTAAAGTACTCTTTCTAGGCAAAAAATTAGTGATTATGTTGTTATGGCGTGAGTATTGTGATAATCTTCTCACCTTTAAGTGATTATTCTAGATTCGTTCAACTGAAATTTTGCCTAATTCCTTGTTTGTGGAGAGAATTAGCAATATTTCATTTTATTATCCACTGTATGCATTGTTTTATTTTGCTGTTTCTTTAGTATAGTCGGGCATGGGACTTTTACTTGCATGAAATTCATAAATGACAGATTTGCTTACAGTATACAGTGACTCATCTGAAGGAAATTTCAACATTTTTTTAAAGAGTTGTGAAATGATCATTCTTTTGTTTTGGTTTTAATTTTGTTAACATAAAGGTAACAACTCTTTGTTAGATGGTGGCAGTTCTTTTACCTCTAAATTCTAAAGATGTGATGTGTAATTCTCCCTTCCAGTTGCCATAACTTTTTTTGTTACTCTGTAAGGAGAATTTGGTGTCACATAAAGATGACCCCCTGCAGTTGATATGTGCAAGTTTATCTTTTTCCATCTACTGATTTTATGGATATTGTTTGATTATTGGAAGGAGAATTTACCTGTCAATCAGCTGGGGGAAATTAGGGTTGACTTGAGGTGTGGAAGAAGATAGAAGAGTGACAAAGACGTAAGGTAACAGGGGAGTGGGCCTACTGATCCAGGTGTAGGGAGTGGAAGTGGGACGGGTCAGTATCCTTAGTTGTTTTGTCATGTGCGATGCATAGGAGTGTGCAGTTCCTGGCAAGGTTGTAACGGCTCTTTGTCATCAGTGATAGAGACTGTGTGATTGTGACTCCCCCAAAATTAACTTTCAATGTGAAACTGCTTATTTGGATACTTTAACGATGAGTTCGTGTATGAGTAAACTTTTGGCTACACATGATAAAAACCTTTTTTTATTTTTCAAAGAACCTTATACTATTTAAACACTTTGTGGAAAATCTATTGATCACTTATAATAATTCTGGTTTAAAATGAAGTGAACTCTTGTAATGTGTTTGTTACTCCTGACCTTTTATCTGTGATTCAGAATGTGATAATAGTTCGGCTCGGTTTCAGGTGTATATACAATGTAAATGTAACAAAATTAATATTCTTCAAAAATGCAATAACATACATGCTTCAAATAAAGAACTTGGAACTGAAATCATTATTTTGGTTTTTAAAGTCGTGAAGCAGAAGATAAATTTTCCGTTGAATGTCGAAAGTAACGTGGGACTTTTTTTGTTTGGACAGAACTGTCTTTAATTTGTTCTGGCACAAAATCTTTTAGTATCCAGACCCCCTCCCAGACTTTCCCGCCGGCCTGACCCATAGCCCATAACATTCTGTCCAACGACATATCCAATACAACCAAACCGCGTATTAGCATTTATTATATAGATACTGATGAAATACAAGGATTTCTCCTTTTACTGAAAAATCATATCTTCACCGCGCGCAGTGAAGATACTATTTTTATTTTTCACGTGTGAGGAGATTTTTATGTGGAAATTTCATCAGTATATAATAAACAGAACATTACATGGCCGCTTGGGGATACGAATTTTATCTTCTCGTGCTGAAAGTATCTCTCACGAGTGAGCGCAGCTCACTCGTGAGAGATACTTTCAGCACTCGATACTTTCAGCACTTTTTTTGAGAGATACTTTCCGCACTCGAAGATAAAATTCGTATAACCGCGCGGCCATGTAATATCCTCTATTTAGACGTTTTGTTGTGCAGTATCGCGAAATATTTTTAGGAGTTGTGCCGTATTTTGACGAGCCCGTAGGGCAAGTAGAAATACAAATAACGAGTCAAAATACTCAGCGATACGACATACCAAAACGCCTAATAAGTTATTTATTATCCAACATGCCAAATTGTTATTTTAGTGCGGGCGAATTTCGCGAATATTTGTTTACGGGAAGAGCGTGACAAAAGTGTGCGAAGCGGAACGGAATTGGCGCGTTGTCGTGTTGCTGTTTCTTGTCTCTTTAACAAATAATGAAATTTCATCGTTGTCTAACTGCTTTTCTTCATTCGATTTCGATTTATCTGATAAACTTGGATCAATATTCGCCAGCCA